CTAGATATGTTCTTCCTCCGCCCCCATTTCCCGGTCGCTGTTTTCGGATGCGCGGCGGAGGCGGCGGCCGAAGGGTCAATGCTTTCTTTTTTTGTACTCCCTATATTTAAATTCAAATTTCACGGCGAAGAGCCACAAACACAGCTTTAGGTTATTTAGGGTTTTGCGGACATGGGTGAGGGAACGGGGTGATTTCAAAAAAATGAATGTTGTCCGTTCAATTTATTTTTGGTGAATTTCAAAAATGAAGCTTTCTAATAAATTATTTTCCCAAATTAGTATTTAATAAATAATAATTACTTATACGGTTCTTTATAAATTAGATCCATTCTCTAAATGACTTTCTTTCGAAAATGTCTATTAAATGTCAGTCGCAAAGAAGATATTTATGTTCTCAAAGGCAAATTTTATGGTACGCCTAAGGTCCATTATGGACCTACATATGAGCAAAACAAGTATTTTTTTTCTCCGATACTACAATGTAGCATCCCAACCCGCATAATCCAAATACACGGATTAGCGAATCGGGTTGTTACTAATTTGGCATTCATTATGGTACGCCTAAGGTCCATTATAGACCTACATATGAGCAAAACAAACATTTCTTTTCTCTGATACTACAACGTAACATCCCAACCCGCATAATCCAAATACACGGATTAGCGAATCGGATTGTTACTAATTTGGCAAATTTTATGTACCATTAGGCAGCCCAAGGATGACCTTCCCACCAAGCATGGCACAATTTGTCAACGGCCCAGGCGATCTAGGGATTTGGCCAAGTCATGGCCATGTGCCAACAGGCAGGAGGAATGCCTTTCTTCACAGGGGGCAAAATTGGGTCAAAATCCCAAAGAATCGCAGAATAAGCAAATTGGGCGTTGGAATCAAGTCCTGGGGACGCCTGCGGAGGTTGGACGCCCAAGCAAGCTACCTGGTGACACGACAATTCCACGTGGCAAGCACTGAATGGACGGAACACATATTAAGAGTACGGGGGTCTAAAGTTGGACGTCGAGAGGGGTTGGACGCGGGTACTTCTATCCTATTTATACATCGCGTATTCCTTTAGTTTTATACACGTCTTACACAGCTCAATTCCATTCTTCTTCATATATTTCGAGTTCTCTATCAATATACTAGTTTAGAATTACTTTCTTGGAGTTTTTCTCGGAGCAATTTGTAACCTGGTCCTATTTACTCAGATATTGTCGAAGTAAGTTTCCTACTTTTATTTATCAATTGAATTATGTTTTCTTATTATGAATGCATGTCTAGGTCTCTCATCATGAGTAGCTAAATTTATTAGGGATGTGATTCATGGTAGGGTGATGGTAATTTTTGGGTAAAATTATTGTGTTAGAATTTTATTAAAGTTTAATTACTAGTTGTTATTATCGTGAAATTTTATTGTGATTAATAGATCGAAAGATTATTAATCAATCTTTGAAAATTACATTCTTTGAGAAATTTGGAATTTGATTAAGTCAAATCTTTTGATATTGATAATTGATCTCTAGAGATAGGATTAATTATTGAGCAAATACTTAGCGGATATTCACTCGCTAGTAAAAAGATTTGAAGTAAAAATTAATCCAACTAATAAAAGTAATCCTTAGAAAGCCATCACCCGAACAAGAATTACATCCCTATCTTTTTAATATTGAAAATTTAAACAATTCATTACCTAATCTTTGATCACTTGAAACTTTTCGATTCAACAAGTAAATCATGCATAGCTAGTCCTACTACACTTTCCCTTGAGCCGATCCTTGAGACGACACGGGAATAAACTAACCTCTTGAGGTTAGTCTACTCTCAATACTACTATGGGGTTCTTAAACCTTCTATCAGTCCTCGAGGTTAACATGTATTTGAAAGTAACCATTCTTTCCATCGAGGAAACAGTAACAGGCATGCCCTGCCAATCTCTCAATCAATTGGTCAATGAATGGAAGGGGGAAGTGATCCTTCCAGGTAGCATTATTTAACATCTTGTAATCTATCACCATTCTCCACCCGGTGACCATTTGACTTGGTACCAGGTCACCCTTCTCATTCTTCAAAAGATTCATTTCTCTGTTTTTCAGGACAACATGAATAGGACTAACCCACTGACTATCAGAGATCGGATATATGATACGGGGTCTAATAGTCAGAGGATTTCCTTATGTACTACCTCCATCAGTTTGGGTTAAGCCTCTATTGTGCTTGAACAACGGGCTTGAACCCTTCCTCAATTGTTATCTTGTGGGACCAAAAGGCCAGGCTGATTCCCTGAATATCCTCCAATTTCCAAGCAATTGTATTCCTTGCTTGTGCCTCTTGGAAAGTGTTTTCACATTATTGTTTTGCTAATGACAATGTTTCTTTCCGTTTAGGTTTTGATATTTATAAGCAGCCGGGAACATGGAATAAAATGAAAAGATTCAAACTGTAACGCCCTGAAACCCGGCCTATAAGGATTAACTAATTAATAATAATTAATTAATTACTGCGGCGGGCTCGGTGTAATTTGGAAATATTCTTCGTTTGACAAAAAGTTTATACCGTTGTGTAGGGTTTGATGGAACAAATCCAACGATGCAAGCGGATTCGGACTTGGAGCCTGTGGGCCTAGAAAGTGCATTTTGGTCCAGGTACATAAATTAATTACGGAGCCCAAAACCCCAAACATATTTATATCACCCTACGCGTTCCTAACCCTCACGCCACCCCCATACTTACGTAAACTCCCTCTCTCGCTACTCTCTCTCAGTTGAACATCAGAAAAACGGAACACGAGCGAGGAACCGACAAGAAAAAGAAGAAAAGAAGAAGAAAAAAGGAGGAAGAAGAAAGAGGAGTTCGTCGTTCAATTCCCCGTTCGTTGATACTATCTCGATAATTCGTATTCGTCCTAATCGAGGTGAGTACGTGGATATCTAACATAGAGTTATATTCGTAGATTTGAATCTTACATTTGTATAATCGTTACGGTTGAGTTACGTGAAACCTTATGCGATTAACATGTTAAATATGATGTTTATGCGTTGGAAAGCACGAATCGAAATGGGTAAGGTTATAATATTGTTAGATAATGTTTGGAATGTTAATATGAACCCATTGATATCTGTTATTATGAACTTGATGATGGTTTGATGTAGAAAAATGGAGATGGTGCAGAGTCAGAATTCGTCGCAACCGACAGTAGGGCGGTCCTGCCGGGACAGTACCGTGCTACCACCACCACTCTGCGTTTTCCACACTCCCATGTCGGTACCTATGACCGTTCGGTACCTAGGTACCGGACAGACGGTAGGCCCTACTGCCAGGTCGGTAGTGGCTACCGTGACAGGCCTACCGGGAAAGTACATTGTTGTTTCGGACGATACCCCCGTACCGTGGGGACGGTACCGTGGGTTCGGTACCCCATAGCGTCAAGGGTACCGTTGGGTACCTGAACTGGAATTGTCGGTTTAGTTTGCGTCAAGGATTGATTCCGAGACTTGTGTGTTGCATGATGGTAAACATGGGTGTCTACACCCAGTGTTAGGCCGCTATTCGATGACGTTGGATATGTTGGTAACTGTATTGTGGATTTAAGAATGTGATGCTATGAATGATTAATGAATGTTGGACATATCACCTAAAAGAACTCTAGGGACTGACCTGAATGGATTAGTGGCAAGGTATGTCATAAGTATTGTAAGTTAGAGCCATGTGGTACCTGCTGGGTCCAATCACTATCCGGGTAAAAATGTGTGCACGGGGATCTATGAACTATTGTACCAAAGGGAACAGGGATCTTACCCACCCAACGAGGAACTCCCGAGTTGGTTTCGAGCTTGACCTTTGTTCCGAAGGGGGAGGTCATGACTCCCACCTAGCATAGGTTAAGAGCCAAGTATAAGAAAAAAAGTAAATTGAATTAGTAAGGAAAGTACTAAGCTTTTGTATCATTGCATGATGATAGCTTATGTACCGTTGTGATATTGTTGTGTATGTTTATGTGCATGATATCATATGATGATATGGGCTAGTGAGGTCGTCTATGGGTATGTTAGATATTTCTCACTTAGCATCAATGCTGAGCGCGTAGCGTTTGTTCTTTTGTTGCACGTAGGTAATCCAGAGAATGAGGAACTTGGAGTCAGTCCTGGAGGGCGATGAGGACGAGGAGATGTGCTTGGCCGTGTTTGATGACTTCGAATTTTTATTTGTTATTTAATTTACTTATTACTTTTACACGCATGATTTCCAAGTTGTGTTTTTAAATAATGACTTAAGCTTACGCAAACATTTTGATTGTTACTCCGATGAATGTTGAATTATATTTTGAAGTATTATTTTAAACTGTTTTAAAAATTAAGTTGTGTTTGGGTAATATTTGTCTTATTGGTAAAAATTGGTAATTTATCCAAAAAATGGTAAAAATTAAGTTGTCTTAAGTTGTGTTTGAGTATTTATCCAAATTTAATTTTGTTCGGTCAAAATTGATAAACTTTGACCTCAAATTTAATAAAAGTGGTATTGCATATTGATATAAAAATAATTTTATTAGATTTATTATATTACATATTTTCAAAATATTATTTTATTTAATTAATATACACTTTATTTTATTCAATTATAGATCAAAGATTAAAAATAGTGAAAAAATCAAAAATGGACAAATATTAAAGGACGAAGATAGTATGTATGAAGTTTAACAAAACAAAAGCAACAATGCATAAGAGTCTCCGGGAAAACAAATTACTTAAGTTTTTACATTTTTATTGGAGTAAAGTAACCACCCACCCCCGCCAAACTTGGGATTATCCTAAGTTTGTTGTTTTACTAACAAAAGGATCAACATTAGCATGGAGCTACTATTTCACTTGTTTGAGTATATAAAAACATTCCCCACAACTACAAGCTTGAGCTAATTTTTTGATATGGTCAGAGTCTTGATGACTAGGATGTCACGAGTTTGAAACTTACCGTCACTAGTTTAAAAAAATATAAAGTTTCATGTGCAAGGCTCAAAGAAGTCACGCCTGCACTTGAGGGGGCGTGTTAGAATATATAAAGAATTTTCTGGAGCACAATCTTGAGCTTTTGGTTGAGTTGGTTTTTTGACATGATATGAATATCCATAATCGATACAATGGTAAAGCTATCACAAGTGCAACGACTCAAAGTGCCATATTTCAGAAGACAATGTACTAGCACTATTTAAGAACCAAGTTTGCCTCCCTTGCAGTGATCACTAACGTTCATTAGCCAGGGCCAACTTTGGGGATATCATAATGCTCACTCATATTAGCCAAATACTGGTTAAAATCTTCAATTCTGTCTCTGTGTGATTTGTTAGCAGTCTTGGCCATCCTCTTCTTATCGATCCTCTCTCTTTGTTCCATGTAGCGTCTCTCTGCTGGGGTGAGAGGATCTCGAGCAGCATCTCCTTTCCCAACGGATTTGTCAGCATCTTCAATCATCTCTTCCTGGTTTGAGTCAACGAGCAATTCGGCACTTTCACCTACAAAAAAACAAGTCATTAAATCAGTACTAACAATGAGTCAACCATGCTCCCTCTGTTCCATTTTATTGTTCACTCTTCCCTTGGCCCAAAGTGTAAGAGTAACAATGGTTGGAGTATAGAAAAGAGAGACACTGAAGAAACGGGTAAAGTTTGAGATAAAAAAATTGCTACAATGTGAAGACCATTTTGTGGAAATTACTCTAAGGTCCTTCAACTTAAAAATGAGAGTTATGGTCCTGAATCTGTTTTACTCCCTCTCTGCCCTGCTTGGTTTTTCCATCCTTTTTCGTTTGTCCAAAACTATTTTCCAGTTTCCTTTTGAGGGATGAAATTTATGGTCCATATTTTTCTTATTTCTACTTAATAAACCTCAACTACACACTCTTTAAACTTCTGTATCTGTGCTACAGGTAACTTGAATTTCCCAATGGGACAGAGGGAAGAACTGAAGAGTGACAATCAGATGCTATTGCTATCATTCGATTTTCTGATGTATAGTGAGCTTTTATTTGATATTATTCACAAAATGCTTTACTAGCTTCTAACCCTTTTTAATTAACTCTCCCCTTCTCTCCTTCCCGAGTCATGATTCCCCCTTTCCCACCTAATTCATTTTCTTTCACGCATGGTCATAGGCTCATAGCCCACTTATTCTTTTTCTCTAAAACTTTCCTCATTTTCATTAATTTGCATAATTACAACTTCTAAATTCTGAATAACACGAACACCCAACTGCCAACAACTTCCACAAAAATGCCAAAACATTGAACAACAACGTAGATCCAAGACAGATGTTTGATAAACAATGATAGAAATGGGTATTAGTTTGGTTATATGGGGAATCACTTGAACATAGTGTCGTTACTAATAAGACAGTGCCAAAACCTGTCAGGGCAGTACCAGAAGCAGTTGAAGTTAACAGGAGTTAATCCCTCGCAGACAGTATATCAGTTTCATAAAAAGCTTTAAAGTCAGAAGCATATTCAAACTCCAATCGACAAAATGCAGAGAGGATTCAATCATTATCCTTGAAAATAACTGAAAAGCATAACAGGTCCCACGCCAACCCGAAGAGCACATATAATGATGCAAATAAAAGATGTAAGAAAACAATGCAAACACCGAAATTCAATGATCACAGTATATGCAATCCCTCAAGGCTCAAGCTTTCTATACTGAGTTTGATGGAGTATAGGGAAAGAGATGCGGCAATGGTGTTTAAAGAGAGCAGCATTAGAAGAAAAAAAGGGAAGCACAATAGGAGTGAAGGATGAGAGAGAATGAGGTGTGCTTTGGCCATGTAGGAAGAAGATGAAACAGATGGGATAAAGAGGAATCAGAAAGGAGATGAGACATATTGATGGAAACGGGTAGCAGCACGTATGGAGGGTGGGGTAGTTTGTAAGGGCATCTTGAGGATAATATGAAATAAAAGCTCACAACATCAAAATTTCAAATGTTAACACCAAATCATCACCCATTAATACAACAACAACAACAACAACAACCCAATTGGATCCCACAAGTGTAGGGTCTGTGGGGAGGGTGTGTGTACGCAAGAGACCCCCGACTCAACTGCATAGATAAAAAGATCGCAGGAGATACATAAAGTAAAGAAGGCATGGATAAAGTACAAAACACAAAGAGACAAAGAGCAAATTAAAGGTAAAAAAGGAAAATATTGCAAAAATAGAACACCAAGCATACAAAGCATACAAAGCACACAAGTACATAAAGGTCCTCTTAGCTTAAAATGCCTACCCAACTACACTAGTCCTGGCTCTCCAGACACTCCTATCTAAGACCATATCCTCAGTAAGGGCAAGAAGACCCAAGTCCTTTCTAATCACTTCTTTCCATGTCTTCCTAATTCTACCCCTTCCCCTACTCCCAACTACTAGTGTAAGCCTCTCGCATCTCCGCACAGGAGCGTCAACATTGTGCCGCCACACATGCCCAAACCATCTCAACCTAGCTTCCTGCAAGTCCGCAACTTGTCTTCCACAGGTGCCATGCATACTCGTCCACAGGTAACCTCGTTTAAGATCATGTCCAACCTCGTCTGTCCACACATCCACCGAAACATCCTCAAACCTGTCCACGATGAACGTGGGTTTTCACATCCACCCAGTTGGATCCCGCAGCTTGTCTTCCCATTAATACTTACAGTTTAACTTAAGGGCCACAGTTCTCAATGCCAACTCTTAGAAAATTTTGGTTTAAAACTAGTAAAATTGGGTGGGGTATAAAGAAAGAGAGAGTGTAAAAGGTAAGAGCGGCCAGGCACTTCCAAAATTGAAATTGGAATTTCGAAACACAAATGGAAAACCCCAAAAGAGGAAGGATTCGAACAATATTACTCCATCCACTCCATTTTACTTGACTTTTTCAATATTCACAAGGTCAAACTTTACGATCTTTCGTTTCTTATGTATTTGTTACAACAACAACAAAGCCTTATCCCACTAGGTGAGGTCGGCTACATGGATCAAACGATGCAATTGCGCCCTATCGTGTATCATATCTGTTGTGAGATTGTTCACGCAAAGGTCTCCCTTAATCAATGTTTGCCAAGTCCTCTCAGGTCTACCTCTTCCTCTAGCCACATGCATTGTCACCATTTGATCAACCCTTCTCGCGGGATGCTCTATTGGTCTTCTCTCCACATGTCCAAACCACCTAAGATCAGTTTCCACTATTTTTCCTACAATAGGTGCAACTCCATTTTTAGCTCTCATATCTTCATTCTTTATTCTATCCATACGCGTATGACCGCTCATACAACGAAGCATCTTCATTTCCGCTACACTAACCTTGTGTTCATGTTCACACTAACCTTGTATTTGTTACACATTTGGAAAAAATAATATTCTCATATCACATCTTGCAATATAAAACTTTTGATACGATATTTAAATTTACTTTTTAAACTTTACACCTATTTTCAAACTAAATAGGTTAAATTGAAAACAACTTCAACCAAACATCGTAAACCAGAACACGTCAAGTAAAAAGAAACGAATTTAGTATATAATAGAAGAATTACTCGATCATCTTTCAAAAATGAAGTAACTACTCTAGCATGCCATACAATATTCCAATATCAACTAGAACTGTATAGAGATCAAAAGCCTCATCCAAGCAACAAGTTAAGCACTTATATTTGTATCACTTTCTAAAACAAGACTATAAATTTAGTTTGTTTTAGAAAAAGTGAGCAGTCTATTTACTTCGTACTTAACAGTTCAATATGGCAAAATTTTATTAAGAACAATTATAAAAACACAGATTTCTAGGATATAGGAAATTCAACCTGCAGAGAGTTCAGGATCCATGACTTGAGAGACAATCTGATCAGAGTTCTTCTTTTGTTTCTTCTTCTTTTTCATTCCACCACTCTTAACATCCAATGCTTTGCCCTTAAGTTTCAGCTTGCCACCAACCACATTGTCATATGCAGACATTTCTGTGAATATCCAAACAGCTTAAGACCTTTTTACCCCAACACTACAACTCTACAAGATAAATCACAATTTTAAACCGAGAAGTAATCAAACAGATAATTTTTTTTAAAAGCAAACAGAATAGAAATTTAATTAGTAGTATATTTTATCTACTCCGTGATGGAGTCCTGAGCTCCTGATATTAAAAAAAAATTACTGACAAAGACGCGTATTTGAAAAAACAAGCAGAGAATATAAATCCAGATCAGTTAGAAATAAAAATATGAGTATCTGAACCGGAATTTGAAAAAACGACCAAAGCAAACCCTTATCTAAAGAGATAAAATATGATCTGTTGTAGTGTGGCGATTCGGGTCTGAACTGATTTACGACAGATCTTTGAATTGCATAAAATAAATAAAAACGGCTTTTCATACCAGGATGTGAAAGAAGTGAAGAACAACCAATCACCTAATTGTCGAACGGGAGAAGGAGCGTAGGGCGCAGTAAGCTAGAGTTCTAACTCCTAACCATATTTACTTACACTAATACCCCATTTGTCCCCCATCCTGTTTTTCACCACTCATTTTTACTCCATTTTTATTTATTTAATTTTTTTTAATATCTAGCCCATTTTTGTGGTAATGGAGGGGGTGAGGGACAAATGGGGTACACCATTTGTCCTATCATAGATCATTTTTTATGCATAGAAATTGGTTTTTGATAGAATATAAAAATTTTATTATTTTAAGATACAAAAATTAATTGATTTATAAATTTCGGAAATTCATTTCCCGAAATCTCTTGAAGTATCATCTTGTCTTGCCAAAGAATTATAGCATAAAAGGGTGGTTCATAGTTTTTGTTGTTTGCTAATTGCATAGTATTTTGACTCTCATTTGGAAATTAACACTATTTTCTTTCAAATTTTTTTGAAAATGCGTATATTCGAATCTCTGATCTACGCATGTATTCGATCTCTCTAACAATGCAAATGAAAAAAAGTACGGAGTACATATTAGCATCATTACGATATTGTGAATGTATACATATTTTAGGTTCATTTTATCGAAATAACTAACCTTTGAATCATGAAAAATTACTTTCAAGGATTCAGGTCTCCTAGCATGGGCGAAGACATAATAAACTCTTATCGCTCTTAATTTAAGCATCAAAACTGAGGACCTCTCATCAATATTTTATACAGCCGTTAACAACCTCATGTTAGGGAGAACTCAAAACGCAGTTTAAAGAGATTAATTAGGCAAAGAGTTCGAGAATGTTCGTATTTGAAAAAATTAATTTCTTTTTTGTTTCCGAATTTGTAATTTTTTTTTATTTTTGGAATCTGCTTAGCCCTTAAATAAAAATAGAAACTTATTGTAATTTTCTTATGCATTAATGCATTAATTTTAAATTATTGCTTGCCAATATTAATTCTTATTGAAATATAACTCGAGTAACACGCTTTTTCTATTTCGAAATTGCATTTTTTATTTTTGGAATCAGCTAGCCTTTTAATAGAATGGAAACTTAGTGGTATATATGCTATATATTTTTTTATATTCTCCCAACCAAAAAATGGAAACATAATAATTTTTAATTAGTGCTTACCAATATTAATACTTATTCTCATCGGCTCGGTTCTAGTGACACCGGAGTGGCACCGTTCTCCGGTGTCACTAGAACCGGGCCGTAGTCACATATTACTCGAGTAACACGCACTTTTCATATATTACTTTGACATTTTTTAAATTTAATTTTTTAGTCTATTTTTGAATTTGTAATCTTTTTTTTATTTTCGTAAATGCGCTATTAGCCTTTTAATAAAAATAGAAACTTATTGGTACACTATGAAAAAAATTATGTATTCTCCCAACTAAAAAAAAGAAACAAAATAATTTTTAGTTAATGCGTACCAATACTAATGCTTATTCATATGTTACTCGAGTAACATGCACTTTCTAAATAATACTATGACATTTTTTATAGATTTAATTTTTTTTCTTTTTCCAAATTTTTAATATTTTTATTTTTGTAAATATGAATAACCTTTTAATGAAAATGGAAACTTATTAGTATGCTATAAATTTTTATTTTGTATTATCCCAACTAAAAATAGAAATACAATAGTTTTTAATTAATGCTTACCAATATTAATGCTTATTCACATGTTACTTGAGTAACACGTGCTATCTATATATTGCTTTATATTTTTTTAAAATTTTTTTTTCTATTCCCGAATTTATAATTTTTTTCGTAAATACGCTATATATATTTTTTATTCTCCCAACAAAAATTGGAAACATAATAACTTTTTATATATAAATTTGACATTTTCTTTAGATCTAATTTTTTCCAAATTCTAAATCTGTAATTTCACATGTTACATGAGTTACACACTTTCTATATATAAATTTGACATTTTCTTTAGATCTAATTTTTTCCAAATTCTAAATCTGTAATTTTTTTCATAAATACGCTATTAGCCTTTTAATTAAAATGGAAACTTATTGGTACATACGCTATAAATATTTTTTATATGCTCCCAACAAAAAAAGGAAACATAATAATTTTTAATTAATGCTTACAATTGTTAATGCTTATTCACATGTTACTTGAGTAAGGGGCACTATCTATATATTACTTTGACCTTTTTTAAAATTTAATTTCTTTTCCTATTTCCGAGTTTGTAATTTTTTTCGTAAATACGCTATATATTTTTTAGAAAAATGCTAGGGGTACACCAAAGGTGTACCCCATTTGTCCCCCACCCCCTCCATTTCCATATAAATGGGCAAGAATTTTAAAAAAATTTAAATAAATAAAAGGTAGATAAAAATGGGTGGTGGAGAAGGGGGTGGGGGACAAATGGGGTACACCTTTGGTGTACCCCTAGCATTGCTCTATTTTTTATATTCTCCTAACAAAAAATGGAAACATAATAATTTTTAATTAATGCTTTCCAATATTAATTCTTACTCACATGTTACTCGAGTAACACGCACTTTCTATATATTAATTAATTTGGAATTTTTTTGTATTCTCCGAACCAAAGAATGGTAATATATTACTTTAAGTAATGCACGACTATACTATTGAACCAGTTATGTACTTATATTACTTACTCCAATCTCAAAATAAATTACCGAGTATCATATCTAAACAAAATGTAAAATTTAATATCTTTTAGATTTATTTTATTTACAAATTTGTATAAAAATGAACAATACACCTTACATAAAAAAATTAGTTAAAATTTATACAAACTACAATATGGTTAGAAAGATATTTTATCACACCTTCTCAATATTGTGTGGTTGACCAAACATATGCTTTGAACTACATTTAATTTCATTCAAATTTTATCTAAGACCTTTTAATTCCACTCAATTTCAACGTATTATAACCAAACTGTTTGTAATTGGGTAATCCAAATTAATTGTATTCAACATATTAATTTTATATCACAACTAAATGCACTTTTCTTTCTTAATTCGTAATCCAAATTTATGTTAAAAAGATAAAAGCATAAGATATTTAGGGAGGGGAGAGTATAATTAGATAAGGTATAAAATAATGAGCTGATGAATTGATGATAAATTGATAAATGCGATATGACAAAAAAATGAATGGATAATTAAATTTTAATTCGAAAAAAACATACTCTGTATGTGATATGTAAATATATCTGAAACTGAATCAAACATCAACCGAAATATATCTGAATGAAATATATATCAACCAAAATGATTTTTAATTCAAAATTGATCCGATTGATATCCATACGGAATCTGAACCGGCATAGAAGCAGAAAATGTATGGAAGCGAATTAAATCCAAACCGAAATTAAACCGAACCGATCTGAACCGAACCAGACCGATTATAACATATATTCGAAAATATACCGACGGTTCTGCCACTAGGACCGGCGATGGAGACGGCATCACGGTTCGCAGAACCGGTACCAGAACCGCCCCCCACGGTACCGGGTCCGGTGTGTTAACTTTTTGTGATCGTTACTGCCGGTACCATTTTTTGAATTTTTTTGGCTTGCTGACAAATATATCCAGGTGGGCCGTGGGGAGCGCCTCCAACGGCTCTATAGCCGTTTGGAGGGGGGTGGGGGGGTTTGTGCGTGGGTGTGGGGGCGGTATTTTTTACCTATAAATACTCCCCTGATGTTTTTTAATTCACTTATTCACTAATCAATCTTTCTCTCTTAAATCTTAATCTCTCTTAATCTTTACTAAATTCTTGATTTTATAATTTATACTTAAACATTTTATATTTATACTTGATTTTATAATTTATACTTAAACATTTTATATAAATATATAATCATATATTACTAATATATTATATTATTATATATTTATATTATAATATATTTCAAAATTCGAATATATTATATTGTTAATATTATAAATTTATCGTATTATAATATTCTAAATTTCTAATATAGTCCTATTTTTTTTATCAATATTGGCTCTACCAAAGTTATCTTAGAGCTGAATCGCTTGAGACACTTGTATGCAACCGAGATTGGCACTTGGCAAGGCGACGAGCTCAAGTGTCAGGGTACGACATTTATATGGAAAATTACATGAATGCAACCACATAGGGAAGCCCTAGTTCTCAGGAATAAGTGAATAACTTTTTTTATTTAATTGTAATTAGTTTTAGGTGAGCGATATATAAGCTATCTCGAGTGTTTCTTTACGGTTCTTACTTCTTCGTTTTTTTTGAACCGTCAGGATAGTAAATGTAGTTGTATTTGTACTATTCATTTTTCAATATTTAAATAACAACTATATTTTTAAATATTCTAATTCATGAAAATTAAAAATTTATAAATTTCATTTGCTTTTTTACGCTTACACATTTATAAATTATCAGAAAAAAACATTTAGGAAAAATTTGGAGGCAGAAAAGACCAGCTGGTACAGTGCTGGAACCGCCGGTGCAAGTACCGGCGCCGGTACCATTAGCACAGGTACCGGTAACGGTGCCATGGGATGGCGGTACGAGAACATGACCGGAAACGTACCATGTCCACCCCTAGTTGAACAAGGTTTGTCAATTAATTAAGGTGGTTGTATCGGATGATTTTAAATCCATCAACAATCTCATACTCTATTTCTTGTGTTTTTTTCTATCCCCAACACACTCTTTTAAGCCACAAAGTAATCTACCAAATCTCTATGGATTCAATCCCATCTTTACCCGTTTTTTATCGTTACATTGGGCATTTTTTATGTTCATAAAAGCAGAAAATCCCAACTATATGACTCAAACATGTTTTATATTCCAAAATATGACCTTTAATATTTTTTCAAAAATAAAATTTATAATGCCAAAACATTATGAAATGTTAACACACATTGTTAGGCTGCAGGCATTTTACCACATCAATACTCATATTTAGGAGACAAAAGGATGAATGATCATATTTTGAAATAAATTCTATATTTCCATCTTATTCAAGTCCATTTTGTTTTTCCAAAATCATCTCGGACCAAGCATTTAAAAGTCTTTATACTATGTATGATTTTTTTTCTATTTAGTTATACAAAATGACAAGTTTGCAAAATTTATAATCCTCAACAAAAGCAGGAAGCCTCAAAATCATCATATATAGGAACAAAAGCACCAGAGACAGTGATCACCACATTTGAAGTGGATGACCACTCAGAAGAGGAAATCCAGGTTGTTCTGGGAGCTGCTGGAATCATTGAAAAAATCAAGCAGGTAAGAAGAAGCTCTCCCCTCCTTGTCCTCCTCCCCTTCTTCTTCCATAAGAAGATCAGAAATAGAAAACGAGTCGAACCCAGAATCCGTGCAGAAGTCCCAGAACCCTGCTTCTTCCTGATGATCCACGCGCGGACCAACGACCATTGAAGACTCCAAGTTTGGCATTGTTTCTTGCTGCACCAAGCACTGATCCCCCTGCTGCTGCTCCTGTACTTCTCCCTGCCTTTCATTGCCGAGCTTACTAGAAGGGGAATGCTGTTTTATCTGGTTCTGCTCTCGGATCTCCTTCAGCTTATCTGCATAGTTGCTGATGTCGAAATTCGTAACTGCATTCGCACCTTTCTGTTCGATTGCTGCAATGTCATATGCCACAGCTGCTTCCTCTTGAGTGCCTTCTTCATCGGTAGCAAGTCACAATCATAAGAAAACGGACTACATACTAATAAACTATGTGATCAACGACACACTATATGTGGCTTGTTTGCTTTTTTTCTTTCTGAATTTGCCATTGTCATACAAGGTTGAAAATAATTAATGAAGAGGATATTAAGTGTGTGTGGTTATGTTTTTTTTGGATCATACTAAATAAGGAAAGGATACAGAGTACTATACTTAAGAAAGTCCAAATAGGAAAGTAATAACTTTATTTTTTAGGTATACTAGCACACCATATTTAGAACCTGAGGTTGTCTGGCATTCAGTTCATCCAGGACAGACTGTATTTATATCCCCACTTTGGTTCTCCTTTTCTAAAGGGTTTTCGGTCATCAGTCTGGTCTAGACCGGTTCAGTCCGGGACCTATGACCAACCCAACCAACCACATCCCCTATTTACCAGATCTATAACTAGAACAGAAGTGGAAACAAAAGTTTTAAATATCTGAATCAGAAAATGTTGGAAATGAATCTGGAAGGCTAAACTCCACCATTGGTCCTTCAATTTTATCAATTATGCACGATTGGTCCTTCAAGTTTTAAAAGTCCATAAATAGTCCTTCAACTTATGAGTTATGCACGATTGGTCCTTCAAGTTGTAAAAGTGCATAAATAGTCCTTCAAGTACACGTCAGCCCTAGCCCTACAGATGAGGTCCTTTTGACAATAAATGTTAAAAGCTAAATAAAATACTAGCTCCATATAATACGGAGTAGTCGTACCTAGTGGAATTTACTCGTATTATATGAAACTAGAATTTCGTTTAACTTTTAATATTTTTTGTCAAAAGGACTTAATATGGAGGGCTTGACGTGTACCTTAAGGACTATTTATGAACTTTTGAAACTTGAAGGACCAATGATGCAGAACTCATAAAGTTGAAGGACTATTTCTGAACTTTTGAAACTTGAAGGACCAATCGTGCACAACTGATAAAGTTGAAGGACCAATGGTGGATTTTAGCCGAATCTGGAAGTGACACTTCAATTTATTCTTAAGTTGTAAATTTTTTGTTGACAGTAGCCTGGAAGAAAATTGAGTGATGTAATGTGATCATAGAAGCAGTGCAAATAAAGAAAAAAGCACAATGAGGCAAAGGAAGTTACACATAGGAAATGGAAAGTGATTTAAGGAAAGCCAATAGATATTTTAATCAGGAGTGTACTATTATAGATGATAGATTTAGGGAAAAACATACTGAAAGTTCCCAAGTAAAGATACTTATTCCCTGAGAGTCGTCCAATTCGTGCCTCCCAACGACCATTGTGATGGTGCCTGTAAAAACCAAAGGGTTCAACTCAAGTTGGTCTATAACAGTTTAGAGAGGAAAAAAAACCATGTTTCCCTAAAGATGTTCAAGTTATTCTTAAGACGAAACCGAAAAAATCTTACTTCAATGTCCCATACAATGTCCTTTTAGTTGTTTTAGCCTTACACAAGTCAATCGAAGAACTATAATTCATTTTCTAAACTATTAGGAAACCAGATTTTTTTATTATTCTTTAAAGCTGAACAGATATTGTGGATTCGCAATGTACCTTGCCACACCGCGGTACTTGGAAACACCTCTAGAAAAACCACTACTTTTACGCCGAAGTGAGGCCAAGAACTCCTCCTTTGACAAGTTCTGCATTTCTTCAAGCTCTTTGGCATATGTCTCGATCTACCAAAAATATTACAGAGGAACGATTGGTAATCCTTTCAAAGTATAAACTTCAATTCATACACCAAATGTGTCAAAAAAGATATGACCAAGTACCGGAAAATTAAGAGTGGTGCCGGGCCCCCAGTACTTAAGAGCAGCTAGATCATAAGTCCTGGCAGCATCCTCTTCGCAATCATATGCACCTGCATTATTATTCCATTTTCAGAAGAAACATGTAAAATGACCAAAAAAATAAAAATACTCACTTTGCCATCTAAAAAGACTACTTTTTTAATAAAATCTTTGTTTCCTGGTTAGAAGAACTTAACATAGATTCCAAAATTGGGTCCCCAAAACATTTAATTTTCCACAGTGGAATAAATAGAAGCAGTAACTCTTACCCAAATAAGCTAAATGACGAGAATAGCGCAGGTTGCATACGGGAGCAAGGATCACCAATGAGAGCCGGAAAACAAAGACGGCACATAAAAAGATAAATAAATCAACTAATTACTCTGGGGTATTTAATTAACTTGGATGAATAAATGTACACAAAGCAACAGCAAAACCCAGTAAAATCCACTCAAAATAAAAGATGTTGGGTCTGTGATAAATGTAACTTTTGAAAATGCAGATCCCAATTCTTAAACCTTAATAGTCACAAGGAAAAATGGTCCATAAAAAGAGAAGGAGATGAAGTTATAAACTAGAAAAAGAAGAAGAAGAAGAAGAAGAAGAAGAAGAAGAAGAGCAATCACTTTGTCTTCCTTTCTTGTTCAGAGTGCTATTCCAGAGAGTCCTGTCCCATAAGTGAGCTTCAAATCTCCCACTCCATCTATGCCTAAAATCAACAAAAAAAAAAGTTTGTAAAGGCAAAATCAAATGTCATGCATGCAATGAATGAACACTGGCCAAGATTTAATATAAAAAAAAAGTCCATTTTATTTTCAAACAGGCACATAGGACAAAGGGGTTAGTGGGTGTACCTCGTGACCCCCCTGTAAATGGAGCTTCTCATGGCTGGCCCACCTGTCGGGGAATCAGCGCTGGGGATTCTGTTTCTCTTTGTTCTTACACGTTTAGGCACCGGTTCGGAAGGACTAGGAATGGGTTTGGGCAGAAGTCCAGTCTCATTGCCGGAAACAATATAGGAGGAAGAAGATGAAGAAGAAGAAGAAGAAGCAGCAGACCTCTTCATCTTCATCATCTCTCAAAAACAGAGTAATTACTCTCACCAGAAGAATTGAAGATGACAGGAAGAACAAAAAAAAGAAAAAAAGATGAGTCACAGTTTGGAAGGTAGTGGGTTGGTGCAGTGTCTGCAGGTACTGCGTGAATGGGTGTTCAGAAAACATGAAGAAGATTTAAAAATGTCCTTTTTCATATTTCTTGCTTTTTGGTAATTAAACTATTATAAAGTGTGGTTTGGTTCACCGAACAGATGATGGACGGAAGAGGAAGAGAATATGACGACCGAAGAGAGGAAGGGATGGGGATGGGGACGGAGAAGGAGAGTCAGAGAGGTGCGGTGGACGTTCTTATGAAACGTAACGGTGCAGTGTTGGAAATTGGCGAGGGAGGGATTTGGACAGGTGGGTTGAAGAGGAAGGGAAGGGAAGGGAGGGAGTGTTAAAACGTGTGTGTGTGTTGCGTTGTGTTGTGGTGTGTTTACTGTTTTGGGGTTAACGGAGAGAGTTTTGGTTATTTAACGGGGGGATGATCACATTTTCAACACTTGGTCAATTTGGCAGTCTCATGCAACCATTTGTCGTTTACTACATTCGGCTACACTATTCAAAATACTATGTATGTGATTTAGGCTTTGTTTGGTAACAGCTTTTTCAATTAGCGTTAGGGTTTTGGATAAAATTTTAACGGTGCAGATTAATTCTGAAAATGCTAACGCTAAAAGCTACCGTCGAATAGCTTTTTCAAAACGCTAATCTCTGACGCTGATGCCAAACGGGGCCTTAAATTACTCACTCCATAGTATAGAGTAAATTCCATAATTTGTCCTTTATAACAGGGGGTTTCCATATTTAGTCCTCTATTATCAAATATTACCCCCGTAGTCCTTTTTTAAGGGTACCTTTCCACAAATGGTCCTTTTTTTGATCTTCTACCGTGTTGGTGTTAATTTAAAGGCTAAAAGTATAATTTGACGTCAATATTATGTCTAGTGACGTGTTCTGATATTGGTTAAGCGGATAACACAAAAATAATGACTATAATTCTGGGCTAGGATTCTGACGAAAGATCACATTTGTAGACTATAGTTGTCGTAAAAAGCGACTGTAATTCACAAACGACGCAAACGGAACAGCCTTTGAAATTGTGTATGACAAAAAAGATATATTATCATTGTGAAATTACACTTTTAGCCCTCAAATTAACACCAACATGATAGAAGATCAAAAAAGGACTATTTGTGGAAAAATACCTATAAAAGAAGGACCACTTGGATAATATTTGATAATAGAGGACTAAATAGAGAAACCCCCCTGTTATAAAGGACCAATTATAGAATTTACTCCGTAAGTATATTTCTCCAGTTTGACTTTTTGAGTCAAACTGGACAAACTTTGAACTTTAATTAAATAAAAACCATAATATATTTTAACATAAAATTGACTTTATTGAATTTATCGTATTGAGAACTTTCAAAATTGTGTTTCATTATACTAATATGCAATATAAATTGAAAGTAATTGAAGTTCAAAATTTGTCCAATTTGACTCGAAAAAATCAAACTGAACAAATACATTGGGACGGAGGTAGTAATAGGCGGATTTTGTTTTTTAAAAAAATTGGGTGAGTGAAGTTTTGAACTCGGACCTCTTGCATTGGTCAGCCAAATTTTGATATCATTTTAAGGAATCAACTCCATTAAAAACATAAATTTCTAGTTGTAGGGGCGGCCTAAGAAAGCTAAAAGCCTCTAACATAGTAACATATACTCCCTTCGTCCCTTACACTCTTTTTTTTCTTTCAATTCATTTTTATCTTGTCCCATAAACTCCTTTATTTTTCTATTTAAAAACAACTTTTATCCCTACTAATTCCTACCCTACTTACCACATCATATCTTTGTACCAATAATCTATCTATCACATCTTAATTTTACCATCACATTAAAGGTATTTTTGGAAAGTCAACATAAAAATATCTCTCTTTTAAATTCTCAAAAAGTTAATAAGAGAAGAATTTTAAAGGACGGAGAAAGTAGGATAAAAGAATGAGTGGTTTGCAACTCTTCTTCCTCCCTTAAACATATAATCATAAAAAATAAATTTCTTACTCGGTATTTTTTAGTATTTTTCATAAACCTCATCAAAGTCAAACAAATTTTTTATATAGAACAAAACAATATCAAAATGCTCCAATGGAGTAATATTAGAAATGCAATCCTTATATGAGTGTTAAAATAATAGTAACTTTTCAAAATGATCATTTCTTATAAAATATTTTTTCAAATTAGTTTTCAATAAGTAATAATTAGTTATGTGATACTTTAAAATTAAGATTTATTTCATCAATAATTTTTCGTCAAAACTCAGTTGTATAGTTGTTAAGTAGAGGGTAGGTATTTTGAAATTTTTCATCTGTTAAACTATGATTGAATTTTAAAAAGAATCATTGGGAGAATTCATTCTAAGTTTAGATGATAGAACACTAAAAATGTTAGGATAAAGGCCCAACGCTAGAAGGGGGTGAATATCGTTTGAAACAAAATCGCAGGAATTTAAAATAAGGAAGGTAAAGTAAAAAGCGTAAGGAAGGAGCACACCGTATTTTACCCTGGTTCACCATAACGTGTGGCTACGTTCAGCCTCCCGAGAGATTCTCTCGAATTACACTAACTCCGTTTAAGCTTAAAGGTGCCTAACAAACCAATACAACTTGAGAACTCGAGTCACACGAGCCTCAACGCCTTTTGCTCGGAGATACCGCACTCCAAGACTTCACACGAAGGAACGAAAACTTCCTCCGAATTACAACAAGGGGACAAACCTCCCTTCAAGTGTATGAAAACATTTAAACACTCGGGACTAAAACTCTCACAAAGGGTAGATATGAGTGAACTAGTAAACGCTCAAAAACACAATAATTTCTTCAAGGATTAGCTCTCAAGAAGTTATGAATATGAAATATGCTAATGAAATGAAAGAGTATTGGTTGTTGAAGAACTGTGTGTAAAATGAGAGGTTTTAGGTGCCAATTTATAGGCTAGAAGGTGGTGTATCCGTTGCAACCGTTCCAACACGGACTAATAGTCGATTATCTTAACATGATAATCGATTATCAAAAGATTCCGTGCCCAAAAATTTAAAATTCAATCCGTTGGAGGCCGGGCAACGGCAACACTGATAATCGATTATCAAAAGTCCGAGAATCGATTATCCAACCTCTCTGAAAAGTCTGGGTTTTAGTAGCAAACCATGAGAATCGATTGTCAATATGTAATAATCGATTATCGGATGGTTCTGAACTAAGAGTTCAAAAACTGCAGGCGCTGATAATCGAATGTGGGAAAGTGATACTCGATTATCACCCAGCTAAGACCCATCCTGCGAAAACCCAACTTGAAAAACCGAGGTTCAAAAGAAGTGTTCCCAAAAGTAAAAATCAAGGTTGAAAAACATTGTATATGGTATAAAATAGAGAAACCAAGACTTGTTGACGGTTTTGACTGATTTTCACGTGTTTAGACTGATTGACCATCATATACAAGTGATTTTTATAAAACGAATGTTTGGGAACCTTTTAAATATGCCTAGAGGTAAAAACCAAGTATAAAATATTGAAAACCATTTTGTTGGTTCGGACACCGAAAACCAAACTCCGAACGCCGAATGTCGAATGTCGAACGCCGAACACCTAACACCGAATGCCGAACCCGTGGTTTTGGTTTGGGCAAGGACCAGGGGTTTTTGCAACTTTGAAAAACTTATGAAAAACGTTTATTTGATGCATAAAAACATTTCATGATTTTATAAAATATTTTGACTCTTTGAGAACCGAGACTTGATTTGATTGTCGGTTTTTTATCACAATGAAACTGACTCAACTAAGTCTTCAAATCTTGATCTTGTCCTTGAGTCTCTTGGTCTTGTTCCACGCCTTACTTCACGCTTTTAGTTATTCAACGAAACTCTTCATATCCACGGCGATTTGGCAATTATCAAAACCTGTCAGAAACGAACACGACTTTAGTTCAACGCAATATAAAGTGTATTCCAACAAAAGACCCCTCAATTAACAACTACTACGTATATAATAGAGTTGTTAATGAAAAAATTTCAATTCTCAAGAATAAACTTAATTAGAAAAGGCCATTTTGAACATTTGTTAAAAGGTTAGATGAGCATGGTACGGTATGTGTCATACCGATTACCGACATCGTACCAAATATTTTGGTTTAGTATGGAATTTTACATTATACTTATCCTAATCCTGAAATATCAGTTTGAGATGGTTCGGTATCTGTTTCTGTACAAATGTATGAATACATGCATACCTAGTTTACACTTAAAATGTAACAAAATCTTTATTTTTTAAAAAACCAATTTTTAGTTAAATAAAAAAACATAAAAATTAAAAAAATGAATAATTAAATGCAATACTTGCTTAAGAAACTTACTTCAAATTTCACAAACTAAAAAGAGCGAATAACAAAAAAATTATTTCAAATGCTTTGTTAATACTTTTAAATTTATATAAATTTTCAAAATAAACGTATTCTTTAATGAAGAAACATAGAGAGATGACTACATTTTAATATGTATTACTATAATTAGTCAATCATTTTTAACATTTGACCTATAATTAAATAAAATAAATATTTTATATTATTTAGATTAAATAATATTTTGAAAATATTTCGTATAATAAATCTAATAAAATTATTTTTGTATGAATATCTAATACTATTTATATTTAATTTGAGGTCGAACTTTACCAATTTTGATCGAAAAAAGTCAAAACTGGACAAATACTTAGGGACGGAGGGAGTATATTTTGTTCGGGATTTCTCGGTATGAGAGATTACCCTGTACCATTCCCAAATACTAAATCGATCGTTCAGTTTGGTATGATTTGAGTTTTTTTGAAAGACTTTCAGTTTGGTTTTCTCAATTTTTTTAGAAACTTTTGGGACCGGTTCAGTACTTGCTCACCCCTACCCAAGGGCTCCTCAGAACCGACTGGACGATCACATGAGAGGAGGTAAATTGAGCTATAATGGCAGACTAGTTGGCAAAGAGTGAAGTCTGCATCTTATATTTACAGAAACTAGGGGTGGGCAAAAAAACCGAACCAACATGGTACCATACCGGACCGTAATGGTACCGAACCGTTTATAATATTTTTAAACGGAATTGATTTTTTTTTCATCCCGAACCGCAACTGAACCGATAACAAACAGGATGGAACCGTGATACAAATATTTAAAACCAATTATCACGGGCTGAACAGTTTAAGGCTATATAAGGAGTATCTCAAATAATTATTTGTTTATTTTATCTTACGGTATATGGAGTACTTTGTATGGCATTTTTTATTTTTATAATTCTTTCATTAATATTGTTAATATTATATTTGTTACTACTATTACCATTATTTTTTAGAGTTATTAATAGTCTGATATTGTATGAATTGAAAAAAAATTATTTTAAAAAATTAAACCCATTATCTTTCATTTTTTATGTTTATGATGCTTTTAAATTCGAAATCAATATTTCTATTTAACAAAGCTGTGTTTTTGTATACAGAATTATTCTTTTATTTCGAAATAGAATGGTATCGAATGGTTTTAGAGTTCATACCGTATCAATACCGAACCGTTTAAACAAGAGCGGTCTGTGATAGGCTCCGGTGATATCACGGACCGTCATGGACCGCGCCCACTTAATCTACACAATCATTCCTCTAAAATTTCCTTAAGGGAGCAGTAACTGCTAGAAAAAAGAGGAAAAAAGAGGGTAAGGAAATTTTAAACACCATAGTCACAGTCCTAAGGGAGCAGTAACTGCTAGAAAAAAGAGGAAAAAAATCAAGACCACGTATAGTTAAATTAAAGTAAATGTCCTAAAGGATTAAGTTATTTATACACTAAAATTTTTACCCCATTTTGTATCCCAAAGGCATGCACCAATATTTTGTACTAGTGTGACAAATTACATTGACAAAAAATATCAGTGCAAATTTTTTTAACTGAACTACGGAGTAATATTTTCTACCAGTGTAAACTGTTCAACTGTCGATGCCACTTAATCTACACAATCATTCTTTTAACACCTATTTTGGAAGTCATATTATGACACTAAGGCATTATGCCCATTGAGATGGGGGGGGGGGGGGGGNAATCGTTGAAGTGCCACAATGGCACCGTAATATTTCAACAATTCCAAAGAGGCAATGGGTTGGCAAGGAGTTTTGTTAACCCAATTTGGGTACAAAAAACTTTGCCCCATCATTATAACCAAAATTAGATTCATTCGATCTACTCCAAGCCTTCCACAAGAAGGAAATAGTGGCAATTGGCCATCTCAAAGAAAGCAACTCCGGTCACTAGAATCAGACAAAAAATTAACAAGGTTGAAATACGTAATGCTAGGAGAAAATGGTACAGTCCAAATGTTAAAATAGGTCATGATCAGATTGCAAAGTGTATGTGTGTCAATGTGTAATCGGCTAGGACCCACGTTGAGAACTTCCGCTCACAGTAGCAACAACATTCGAGTCACATATAAGTATATAACACCAATGTTGACACTGCTAGCGTCTCATAAACAATGAGTGTTTTACAACTGACTATTTGGGTGTGATTGTCTATGATAGTGTCATGCTTGGTGTCATTGACAGGGTTAAAGTAGCATTTCATATGAGAAGGGCTAACTAGAATTTCATTGAAACATCTTTTCTCTAAATAGTACAACATTTCTTCCGGGAAGAAGAATTCAATTGGTCACTGAGCCACTGCTCAGGCTAACCAAGTCCAGCAGTGTGGAGTACAATACACCTAAAGACAAATAACCTAGGACCTTCCTTCTTTCGGATTCACCATTACTAACCTCGACTTGAACCTTGTGTTCTTCGGAATAACAATCCTCCATCACCAACCACCAAGATATGCACCCGATGGGATCTGTGGGGTCAACGTGTGCCACAAGACCAACGGTCTCACCTTCTTCCAGCTCAAACCACAGCGACAAAAAGTCCCTATTGGCCTTTATACCCACCATAAGAGCTTCCTCGTGAAGCCACCGTATGACTTGGCTCGCTACCTACAAAAAAAGGTTCAGCTGCATGTTTGATTCTGAAACATGTGTGTTTCTAAAGGGCAGCCTAGATGAGAATAGATCATCTGTAAAACCTACCAAAGTTCAAAATATATCCGCATTTTTTAACAACCTTGGAAGTTTATACTCACCTATAAATCACAAGGAAAAACTTGGAAGTTTAAAACAAAACAATTGATACATTAACAGCCGTGCAGGTCAAAGTGGAAATTTTCGACCAGGACAAAGTATTTTTCTCTCTCCATAAACTACACATTCACTTTATGTCTTTATCATGAAAAGACAATTGAAAGAAAATGTGAAACAAGAATACACACCTGCTGCAGCAGAACAGCAGGAAGACCTGCTAAATCACAGTCATATCTGTTCATAGAGCACATATCATAAGACTTCTCTTTGAATAGACCGACAACATTTGGGGCACCTTCACCTTCCACGCTTATGCAATCGTCATACACTGAAACCTTAGTGCGGAACTGAGATTTAACATTCTTGTCCAGGTATGATGAGTTGACTCCACTGCCCGAGTTGAGAATTGACTGAGGCACCTTCATCAAGAGCGTCCACGCAGACTTTCGAGAGTGCCAAGTGAGGTGAGAAATCAATTCCACATGCGGCATTTTGCTAACCTTCAACCACAAATGCAGAAATTAATTGTAAGTTGATGCTGAAATTGAGCTGCCTTAAGGGGTTGTTTGGACCATGAAAAATTCTAGTGGGAAAGAGTAGAAGAAAATAGATAGAAATTTGAAAGGAAAGAAAATTTAGCAAAAAGGCACTCAAACTCAATTATTTATATATGTTTTCAACTTCAAACTCATTTAGGTTATATAATCCAATTGAAAAAGACAAAGACGTGTGAGTGTGTGTGTGTGTACACACACACATACACATAATTGTCAAAAGTTAGAATCAGATTTGATTTTCCATTGGATTTCTGAAGGTAAAACCAAACAGTAAAAACTATTTCCTTCATCTTTCTTTTTTCCTTCCCTGCAATTTTCATAAATCATAACCCTGATGAATCAATTAATTAGAACATACCAGAGTTTCCAGCTCTGCAAGAACTTTGTTTGAGAACATCCTGTGAGCCAGAGACCGACAGAAATGACCCAGGAGATTTGAACTGTTCTTTGTAGGTGCAACAGATACTCGAGAGTTGATAGAACTTGATGATCTGTTTTTGGCTTTAACAAACACATGTTCATGGAAAATTTGTTGTAAATATATTTCAAAACTGGTTTGATTTACAGATCCTAACTTCTTCAAGTTCACTTTCCCATCATCTAATTTTGACCCATCAAAAGATTCCATAGGCACGACCACAGCACCCAATGTTTCATCACCTTCACCACTGGTTATTTTATCACCTCCATCATGTGGCACAAGTGAAAGAGAGACAGATGCTCCTTGGCCAATGCTTAAACGCAAAAAATTCTCTTGAACTCCTGTCATGTTGATTCTAAAAGATGGGTTGAATGCTTCACGATTCACAAGATCAAATACCTGGAAACACATGAAAATGGAAAATGGTAAAGAAAGTATTACAAGCCACAAAGGCATATACTCTCTCCATAGCAAAAAGGAGTCATGTTCAAGAACTCTTTTATTTTGGAAAGGGACAACTTTTTATTGTGTAAAATCTTTTTGCTTTTTAACAAAATATACCACAATTAACTTTTTTTTATTCAACCAAAAAAACTTTGTGAGTTTTTTTAATACCACACTAATGGTGAATCACTTGAAAAAAACCTCAGAGTTTTGAAACTTGATGTTTTGGACAGAGGGAGTATACTAGGATGCATCGTCGTATCGATATATGGGTTTTCAAAGATCAGTTTTTGCATTGAAATGAAGGTTTTTTGATGCAGTAACAATGCAAAAGAAATACCTGTTCATCAAATATAGCCCTGTGGAGTTCACGTAGAACGCAATGTGTTTCTTTGACATGCTCATCATCACTTTCTTCTTTCTTAGATTCACTAGAAGAATCCATAATTGTGCCCTTCACTTCGGGCTTGGCCAATTGCCTGGAAATACCAGTTGAATATGCACCATGAAACTCAAATTGGAGTGTTTTACATGAATTAGGTGGCAAATTCACAGCTAGCATTCCAGTCAAGTCATGCTCAACACGAACTGCAGAAGCAGAAGAAGGGCGAAATACAAGTGCTGGATCATGTAATGTATTGTCAATTAAGTCAATGTAAAATCCTTCATTTCCAGATGAGGCAGCAACCATCCTATGCCACTTAATTTTCCAATTCTGCTGCAATCTATCATTTCATCACAAAAAAATATACATTGCTTTGATAAAAAAGAAACTGAAGATTATTACTATTATTATAATATTATCTATTATTATTATTAATATTATGATTCTAAACTGAAAACTATTGTCTTGATGCATGGAGACATTTTTTCAGAAACTCTGAAAATATCATCTTGCATCACCATCCAAAATAGATAAAAACTCACCTAATCAAAGCACCATAGAATCGTGCTTCCCTGGCTACTTGTTTCTCCAATGCTTTTGCAGATTTCTTAAAATACTTCCCCAAGTGCTGAAATTTTGAAGAGCTTGAGGATTGTTAGTATCAATTTTGAAAATGCTTGGATTTCTTAAATTAAAATGCATCCAAACAGATTAAGAATTCATATTAGCAAGACATAAATGGCTTAGCATAGCAGCAAGAACATCATGGCACCGGTATGATTTAGAAAGATACCCGAAAATTTTGTAGCTTGGTAGCCATAGACACGGCAAGGTCAGATAGAAGCTCATTTGGTAATTGCTTTGGCCTGGTCATACCAGCCACTGTTACGGCATCATTTGCTTCCACCTATATGGAGCATATACAAGGGAGTCATGCTCTCTTAAGTGTTTATTTATCCTTGGAAAAAGAAAAAAAGTGAGGAACAACGATCAAGTAAAATTTGCACATCCAGATACAAACAAAAAGCACTCGACCAATTTTTTAAAAAAAGATGGCACCTGGAAATAGCATAGGAACCATAATGAACACGCCATCCTAAAAGTGTTGTTCATCCCCATTACATGGCTAAGAACAAGAGCAAAAGCTAGTGGATAATGATAAATAGAGAAGGATGACATTTGTTTGGAACTTTTCTCTTTGAGGTTTACTCTACTCTTCTCTTTTCCTTTGGAATAGACACTAACTCTCTGTTTTTAAAGATTTCATGCAAAAATAGATAGTGGTTATAGTAGATATTGACGGTTTGAACTGCCAAAATAGTTACACTTAAGCATTCCACATAAAGGGGATTCAAAGTTTCAAGTAAATAAGAATGCACTGCACAAAGATGGTGGGGAAGGCGATCGAGGAATGGATTGAAATTGCTACAAAAGGATTAAGATTGACAAAGCGTGTACAATGCACGAGTGATCCATTAAAATTTTGCATAAGAAATATCCCCCGGCAACAACTGAAAGTATGCATACGCTTTTCCTTCAATGTTAATTTATAAGTAGTTCTCAACCTACTTGTTCAAGTTATTTTATAAACATTCTATTTCCTGATGTCTCCTTCGGCATCTTGAGCTTTTAAGGTTCGCCATATCCCAAAAATCCAAAATAAACTTGACCCGTCCCCATTTCTGCGCCACTTAGCTTGTCACTAAAGAATTAAAAATTGACCAGAAACCTTGGAGCACACAGTAATCTTAATAAAATCAGGAAGAGGGGAATAAAAATTACAGTATTGATGAGATCAATAATGACGGAGAGTTCCTGATGAGCCAGCT